TTTATATGATAATATTTAAATTTGATGAGCTAAATTTTACAGGAATACTAATGACAAATTTACGTTAGGCAAGTAGGAAATTTGAATACGAACATCTTATTGGTTCTTGTGATAATTTTAGGCGACGAACGAGTATTATGATATTAAATTTTGGCAAGTGATATTCAAATTGAGTGAGTTTCATTGAATAAAACTTAATTTGGATAAATATTGGATAAATTTGGATAATTTAAAAACAAATGATTATATTTTAAGATTATAAGTACGAAAATGTTGTGCGAAGGCATTTACTATTTTATTTTAATACAAAAAATAATATTTTCAACAAAATTTTTAATAGAAAAGTGAAAATAATTGCAAAACACCATCTATTTAAAAAATTATAAAACTATTATTTACATACTATTGCTACATAATATCCATGGAGGCTGACAAGTTGTGGAACAAAAATTGTGACTTACAGTAAGACGTACGAAGACTATTTTTAATGAATTGTTGGTCGGTTTGTTGACTTCTCTGTACAGTTTTTAACTGCAATTTGAATTGAAATGATTCTAAGAGGAGGATGGGGCATTTTCTTTAAATAGTTGGGAACTATTTAAGAACTTTATCAAACTTATATAATATTTACATTGTTATTACTTAATTTGTTTTATGCTTTTAAATTTTTATATTAAATTTTAAATAGTTATTTAAAAACTTTTAAATTAAAAATTTTCTGATAAAAATTTTCTATATAAATTTAAATATTCTAATCTACAAACATACATTCATGCGTATATACTACATATTTATATGTATGTAATATTAAAATCTAAAACACTTTACCTTATTATATACAATATATTATGTATATTTTAAGAATAATATTAAAATTTATCCTATTTTACACACATATGTACATAATAATATGGTAGTCCTTAATATTGAAGTGAAAATCAAGACATATTGAAGTCAAATTCTTGATTTCTTGAAAAAAAAAAATAAAAGATTCTTTATTTTTTTTTTCTACTTCGTTTACTTCCTGAATCTTAATGCTATTATAATTTTTATATATGAAAATAAAAATGTTAAGTAACTTTATATATAAAATGTAATAAAATCTATGAATATTTTATGTACATATATTTCTTATAAGAAAGTTGAATCTATCCCATTTAATGTATTAATGTATATTTGTACATATGTATATACATAATTATGTGTTAGTGTATATATATATATATATATATATATTTGCGTAAATTTACCCAATAAAAGTATATGAAAGGATGTGGCCCCATTTTTTCGTTATTATTAAGATAATGTAAAAAATTAAACCATGCATATATACTATTTAAGTTTATTATGTATGTATGTATGTTTATTATATATTCATGATATATAGGGTTGTAAATCTTTATTTAAATATATTGTATGTGTGATATATGATATATAGTATTGTGTATATACACGTATGTATATAAATACGTACAAATTATGTAAATTGATGAAATATGATAAAAGTAAGATTTCTAGTTTTCTTAAGGCTGCAAGAAGAGTTGTGTACTAAAATTTCATCCTGTTCATAAAATAAGAATTTTTTTTTCTTCCTAAAACTTTTTCCTTTTTTTTTTCCTCTCTTTTGTTTTATTTCATTATTATTATTATTCTTTTCTTTTTGTTTTGTTTCTGTGTGTCCTTTTGTTCAATTCATTGTTAGTTCAATGGATTTTAGTATATAGAAATTCAGATTATTTATTGTGAAAATTTAATGTTAAATGGGTAAAATAGGGGTTCACTTAAAAGATTTTAAACCTATTATTTTTATTAATTTTTTTCTTTTCTTGTTTTCTTTATACTTCTTTCCCAGTTTTTTGTAATGCTTTATAATAGAAGTTTTATTGCTATTTATTTTATTTAATAAATAGATTATATATACATACATATAAAAGTGTATGTACATATATATAATTATAAAAAATTACCTAACATAAAATATTTTACCAATTTTCGAATTATGTGTGTGTGTTTATTATGATGGTATTTATTTGGCTTATTATGAATAATTTATAAATAAAATATAACAAATTTATTTTGTATTTAAGTATAAAATGTATATATAAATATTTATATATAAAATAAATTTATGTATATTTGTATGTTATATGATATTAAATTAATATTTGTATATATGTGTAAAGAAGACAAGCGACATAATCATGAATTATAAAATAAAAACTTTATCGCTTTAAAATTAAAATTTGAAAGGGAGTTAAAAATGAAATTCGATTTTAAAATATATTTTTTGAGAGCTGTATTTGCTAAATCAGAGGGCAAGACTATAATGGAATTGTTGGAATGGACACAAACAGTAACAGTGCCCAATAATTATAACATTAAAAACGATGTAGTTGAATAGTAAGGGTTCTAAGGTAGTAATAGTCTGTCTTTGAAAAAGTTCGGAAAAAGATCGTTCTTGCAGTTATACGTACTTATACCATTTACAAATTTCAAAATATTATTCAATTTATAAAAAAGATTTGAAAAAAAAAATTGAAGCAACAAGAAAACTTTGCGTTCAATTGTATGTACTTATGTACCTCAAAATTAAATTTTCGGCAATACTTCATTTTTTCGAACGAAGTGTAGTCAATTAACTGAGAAAAGATTTTCGTTATTTATAATTAAATAAATTAAAATTAAAATAATTTAGTTTTAATCAACATAAGTTTTTAAAAATATCGCAATTGAAAATATACAGTTTTCATTTTTCTCCCAAAATTTTAAAAAGAAATCTAGGATTTCGCGTAATTTGTACGTTTTTAAGTTAAAATTTATTCGATTTTATACTGCTAGTCAGCCTAAAGGTGAAATTCTACTGTATATACGTAATGTGTAGGTATACTTATATAACAGATAACATATCGGGTAATTTATCTATGCATAAAATGAATTATCTACGTGATGTAGAAAATTCAATTGATTTATTTCTGAAGTAAAAAAAATTAAAATTCTCACAATGCTCTACTTAAAATAAATTATTTATTGAATAATTTTGACTACAAAATGTTCTAAATTTCAAAGCTCCTTGTTTTGATATTTAATTTTGATAATCGAAAATTTATTAATTTTTGTCATTTTTTATTAATTAACAAGCAAAAGCAATAAGTTTTTACCATTTCATCTATTAAAAATCAAAATTTTTTTTTTGCGGAAATTTTTCTAAAATTCTCTTTTATAATTCAAAAGGACGTTCAAATTTTGAAGCAATATTATGTCAATGAAATATTGTCAATTTTATAGAATCGAATTTGAATAATAAATTTAATTTTAAGCAATTTTTAAGCAAAATAGACGATCTTTATTTAAACCTTTCGTGACCAAATTTTTTTTTGTAGTATTCAGATACACTTGGATATTTCACATATACCATTATTGTCATCTTTAAAAATGCAAAGAGGATTTTCAATTCCGCGAAAAACTTACCTGTGTAATAGAAATATGTTGATGAAAAAAGCAATATCCAATTTTTTAAATTTCGTTCATATAACGTGCTTTAATAGACAGTATAAAAACAATCTTGTTATCTTGATCATGAAAGTCATTCTCTCCTTTACTTTCCTTTTATGTTTTTAAAACATGTGAATTGAGTTTCGTCGTTGTTAGATTTGAACTGTTACCAGGATCTTTATTTCGGTATGTAAACTTTGCCATAATTATTGCATTTAATTTTATACATTTTTCATCTTTTGTTTTTCTTTGGTAGAATTCAATGAAATCTTAAAATAACTTCTGCAACGTCTCATCTTCACTGTTTGTCTTAGATTTGCCCGTGTTATATATTCGTAGTTGTTTACAGTTTCTTCGAATTCTCGTTCAAATTTAAGCAACTCGTGAAATATGAAAGGGTTAACATATTTCTATATTTAAATTAATAATTTATGTATGTATGAATATCTACAAAATAATTTTGTAAACGTAATATAATTATTATATTTAATATTGTTTGAAATCATTTTTAATAATGACATGTTTATAAAAAATTAAACATAATTTTTTTTTACTATTTTGACTAGATATTCAAAGTATAACAGTTTTTTTTTTCATTGGATTAAAATAACAATAAAATGTAGTTCTAAATTTTTTTAATGCCAAAAAAATTAATTGGAACAAGCAGAAATTCTTTAACGACAAAGGCTAAATTTCTTTATGAAAAAAAAATTTATAATATTCAGAACCAGCAATTTGCTTATGTTTTATATTTATTTTTAAATTTAATAACTATTGTAGACACTTTCCCTATATAACAGAAATTTGCATATATGTTTATGTTAAAAAACACAATGAGGATTGCCAATGTAGTCTAGCCAATATTTTTTGATTAAATTTTAAATGCATAAACACTCGTGATCCGATGATTTCGTGTTCGGAAAAAAAATTAAAAGCATAATTTGTTTTTCTTCTGTATGGTTTAATTATTAAATATTTCAATTACAAAAACAACGTGTTTCCATGGTGTAGGATTTATATTATAAAATTTAATACAACACAAATAGTGTTAGTTGGAATAATGCAAAATATATTTTGATCGCAAAGAAATTAATTGTTATATTTTAGTATAACATTTTTTTTAAAGCTTGTCTGGACAATATTAGGTGGCCTGGAATTTGTTTTTTTTTGTCGACGGTATTTTATTTCTTTGAAATTTTAATAGAATGCTGTTTTTTACATGGCTTTGTTGTTAAATTATTTGTCTTTCATTTAATATGGGTGTTTGCTATTAAAAATCTGAATTTTAAGGAGAAAATCAAATTTTTGGTACATTAGCATTAAATTTTTCGAATCTTATTTGATCTTCAACAACTAATTATCATAATTTTTTAAAATTAAAACTTATTAATTTTGCCTCTACATACTTCTATTCCAAAAACTCTCCAAATTTTTGTTGAATATAAAAAAATTTTTTATAAATTATGTTTATTAAATAATTTTTCTTTTATTTTTTCTTGTATATATAGATTGGGTTTCATATCACAATGGGGTGCGTTGGCTGGACGTTATGCTGCCTTATGCCCTCCTGGATGGCCATGGGCGTCACAAAGAATGTCATTTCATAGCCCTACGCATGGTAAATATAAAAATAAAATTTTTCTATTTCATTATTTTTGTTTTTCTTTGGAATTTTTTATTAATTACAGCAAAGTGATTATGGTTTAGTTCTCTTGATAATTTTATGGGTTGCTGGGAAATCCTTTTAAAACATATATACTCTTATATTTATATACTATATACCTATTATTTATAAAAAGAAAATCAAATTGGAAATAAGGGTGAAAGTCATATTATATTTTTTTTTATTATGTATTAATGGAGTAAAATAGAAAAATGTAGACATCAAAGTAGCAGAAATAAAAAATATTTATTTTGCTTTTGATATCATTATTGAATAGCGAACTCTACTTAAATACTTAAATCATATATAATATATATGTATAATTGAATGGGAAGTTGTTATGGAATATAAAAAGTTAATGTTGTATTGTTATTATAAAAATATTAGAATAATATCCTTTGGGCCATATTAGTAATTGAAAAATTCTGTATTCATTTTATGTTGATTTAATTTCGTTTTTGGGGGCGTGGAACAGTAGTATTTCTTGTTTTTTTTTTGTTTGAAAAAATAAATTTAATTCCAGTCAATTATTAAGGCAAATAATTTATTAAATGATCTTTTTTAATAATTAATTGAATAAGAGTTCCTGGAGGTTTAAAGTAGTTAGAACCTTACAGAGTAATGAACATTAAAAATTACTAATATTTCAAAATTAAAGACACTATTATCAATTATATTGCATAAGAATGTTTTAAAATGCTCTCGATTTTTGACATACGAGTGTGTAATACAAATAATGTACATATAACCTTTATAAATAAAGTTCGCGAAAAAAAAGAGGTGAGAATACTTAAATTTAAAAAAAACTTAGGTAATAAGTAATTTTTTTAAATATTTCCTTTAAAATTCGATTTTTTCATTTTTTTGATTATTTTTGAAAATATGCCTAGACTTTTTATTTATACACGAATACAAAATTGTTAATCCAATTTGAGTAAAACAAAGTTCATGCAAATTTTATTTGGCACACTATTTACATAATATGTTTGAATGCTTTAAAAATATAATATTAATAATTATTTTTTTAAATTCAATTATGAGAAAAAGTGATGTATGAAATGACACCCAAATGAATTATGTTCCAGTAGACAAAAAATCAAAACTTTTTAGTAAGTTTGATTCATTTCCTTTGCAAAGTTTCTGAAAAATTTTAACACTGTATAACATTCAAGTATAACATTCGCCTGACCTACAGAATGCTAGATTGTAGATTATTAAAGAGAGATACTCGGGAAAAGTAACTCCTTCACTCCGACCATCGTATCCAGCTATGGCTTATTGTATTACTCCCATATCCTACTTATGCTACCCTGGTCATAAGTAAATACCCGGAGATATCCCTAAGGGAGTTGGACGTGAGCCCCTCAACACTGAGAAAGCCCCAGCTAAAACCAGCTACGCCTCCTGACGGTCATAGCAGGACAATAGCGCAGAACGTTTATGGCCGTCTCCTCATCGTCCCGGCAGAATCACACGAGTAAAACGAGTTCGAATTGCCAAGTTTGTGTATGTGACATTTTAACGAACAATGACCAGCGCAGAAGCCAATAATAGCACAAACCCCATTTCGACCCATCCCCAACAGAAGGATTATACTGTCGTCAAAAATTATAAATTACGGGTTTTCATATTCAAATTTAAATAACACCAGAGTTTTATAATTTTTTTTCGGAATTCCTTAACTGTACGTTATTTCAGTCTGCTATAGTAAAAGGTGACAGAAATTGTAAAAAAAAAATTATAGTAAAATTAGTAATTAGAATTTATATATTTTGTAACTAAAATTTGTACATATAACAAAATATTTATGATACAAAGAAAGTACGAGTATAATAAATAGAAACAAGACTTAAGCTTAGTATAAATATAACTTAACTTTTAAAATAAAAGGTCGGTAATAACATAAATGTAAAGTGTAATGAAAATTGTATGCATGAATGCATTTTTATTTTTTCTTTCTCATTATTGTTACCGTTATATTGCTTTTTCTTAATTTAATGTCAATTTGTATTGACAAGTCATTATCAAAACATAAATGTGTTCAATTACTTTTTACATTTTTCTTCTATTTTTTCTCTATATGCACCTACCTACCTATACGAATGTATGCAATTTATTTTAAATTCGACGACAAGTATTATAAATGTGTTTTTAAAAATTGTTGTAAAGTTTTATATTCACCAAATTGCAATTTGTTATGTGTTTATTTTAAAAGCTTCTTAATGCTATTACAGCAGTTTTGGGGCTTGTTAAAAAGGTTAACTTTTTATTTGTTTTTTTTTTCTGTTTTTACGTTTATTTTGCTAATTTTGTATATTTATTGTTTACATGCATACTCGTACATATTATTATTACTTATGTCTTTTGTTTGTAACTAATTTTATATTTTAAGAAATAGAAAAGAAAAATTAAAATAGCTGCCTTTAATTTCGAAGAGAACTTTATGTACACATCAAAAGAATGTTGAAAATGAAATTATAAAATAGTTTTAATGTTATTTTGTCAGTGCTTTTATTATAATCATTAATTGGTTTTCATTCAATACGCAATGTAATTTGTAAATGCATCAGATAAAAAGTTGTAAAATATACCATAAGAGATTGGTTGAAATCAAAAGGTAAACATAAAATGTAACACTACGTAAAAGTTGCTGCGATGTTGCAGGGGTGTTCTGCGACGTTGCTGTAATACTTCAATTTTATGTTGTAATGCTAAGTGTTACGATAACTTTGTGTTAAGTTTTACGACAACTTTTATACAAGTTAAATTTTGCCTATTTTGTTCAAATTGCTGAATGGTACAATGTGACTTTTAAATAACAATATTTTTTAAAAATGTTATTATTCATAAAAAAATATTGATTATTCACCAAATAACTATTTAAATTAGAAAAATAGAAGCAGCATGAAAAGCAGTTGCGAATTTTTACCCAACGTTCTCACATTGTTGAGGAATTGATTATCAACAATTGAAAATTTAAACCTTTTAATATCGTTTGAATTGTGTGTAAACAAAATAGTCAACTCAGTATTTAGAAATTTCTACATACTCGTAGGTCGAAATTCTGCTATTGTGATTTATAAATATATAAATTCCCATATCACTTCGATGTGATTGAAATAATTTAATTTTTTTTCGATATTATAAATGAAATTCTAATCATACGTTTATCACCTAGAAAATTTCTACTCAATATACAAGTTAATTATATAATATACATGCACATATGTATATGCTATTTAAAACAAAAAATTACAATAATTATTATAGGTTCACTAATATATTGGCACATACTAACATAATGTAGTGGTGTTAAATGATTTAATGACGAGTGTTAGAGCTATTACAAAGAATTAGGTAAAACGAATATTTTTTTATAAAAATTACACAATTTAAAATTAGAGGGAGGTTAGCTGCTTTTTTTTTATACACTATTGAGAATTTAATCGCAAGAGATTTTTAAAGTGCTTAAATTACATTTAAAATAACAAAGGTATTTAGCATTTAGTTGAATTAGAAATTAAATTAAGTATGAGCATGTACAGACAAGGAATTTAAAATAAAATAAAAAAAAAAAAACATTTTTTTTTTCTTGTAAGCCGTTAGCGAATTAATGAAAAACAATTTTAATAGTGACGATTACAAATTGAATCGATAAGTAAATTATCGTTTACTTGTGGGTTATTTTTTTTTTTGTTAATTAGTTTTTCCCCAATGTAAGCAATTTATTATTATAGAGGAATAGAATATAATGTGAAAAACGTTTTTCCTTTGATAATTTCCATGGTGAATTTAAAATTTTTATTGTATAAGTCATTATTTTAAATAAAATATTCAATATACGCCGTAAAGTATGCAATATTTTAAGAATGTAAATATTAGCTATTTTATAATAATTATTAATTAATATTTAATTAGGAATTGGTTATTTGAAATTATAATTTTGATAAGTGCTTTCTTTGATTTATAAATTTAAAGAAAATTACAGAAAAAATGCAAGTTTACGTATATAATTGAACAATGAATCAATCGTCATGTATACTTTCCGATTATTTCATATAAATATTAGCTGCAACAACATGAAATAATCGGAAAGTACATTGAAGACTCATTGGAAATCTTTGATTTTTAGCAATTTTTCGAAAATTTCTGAAACTGAAATAAAATCGTTTGCATATTCAATATTGTTTTGCAAGAAATTAAACTTATCTTGCCATTTACTGAAAATGATATTCAGGGGTGATATCACATGATATTTGCAGTAAATTGACAGGTACAAAACAAGAAAAATTAATTGCTGTCCAAATGAATTTTACAAAAAAAAAATTTTTTTAAAAATTGATAATTTAAAAATTTAATTTTGAACGTTAGTCTCTTTGTAGTGAAATGATAATTCAAACCAAATCGATTTGACATTGACAGTTGTAACCAATTGTCAAAACTAAGAAATAATATTTCTAGTTTCATTTTTTATTTGTAATTTATCTCAGATTTTTTATTCTTATTTCAAATTATAATAAGTCATGGTAATTCGATAAATAAAGTACATACATATTGTAAACGTGATATATTAATTATAATATTACGAGCTTGTGAGAACGAGGTTGTGGGTGTTTCATTTTGAAAATAATCTAAGTTCATTTCAATTAAAAATGAAATATTGCTCCGTTTGGGTTTCAAGTAACCAAAAATTCGATTAAGTGGTTACTTGTTTTATAGAATATTTGTTTTCTTATCCAGCAACAAAAGTTTTAATTTCAATTATTGACATTGCTTCGAAAATAAAATAGTTTTGAAATTGCAAATGTAATATGGATCGATCAAAGAAAAATTATCTGTTATGCAAGATTAATATCATTATTCTTAAATTTCTAAATTAAAATCTACCTTTATTAATTAAAACTATAAATTATTTTTGAATTAAAAATCATTCCACAATAATCTTCTTATGTACCATATCAAGGTTTCACGGAAATATTGTATAAATTTGAATTGCGTAAAAATAAAATTCTTTTTTTGTTGGTATGACAACAATGTTGACAACAAAATAAATTTAAAATTATTTTCAATTGCTTTCAAGTGAATTCATATGGAAATAAAAATCACACGTGACAAACTACAATGTTTACACTCTTACGCCAAATGTACCTATATTTTTTCATTCTACTTCTTCAGCATTATTCGATATTACATTTTTTGCTTACAACATAAAATAAATTTAGTTTTTCTCTTTCTCTTTCAATTTTAATAATGTTTTTTTTTTAGTAAAAATATTATAAATTTTTTTTTTCATTTTTTTGGAAGTAAATATTATTTATAAGTGAAAAAACAACAAAAAAAATATAGAAAACTAAACATTAAAGTTTTAACCTATCCCTGAACCTTTTGTTCATTTTTATGTAATAATATTTTTGTAAAAATAATAACAACCAAAAATAAAATAAAAAAAATTTTATTAAATTTTTTTTTTTACTTTATTTTATTATTTTATTTTTATATATGAAAATTGCTTTCATGTTCCATTACATTTTCATAAAAGTAAATTGAATATAAACAGTAAAAGGTTTTCAGCCCCATAGAGATTTAGAAACCATATGAAAGCGACGACGTTCCATATCAAGTGTCATTTAGTGTTTAATAAAGTAAGAAAACCAAAAGAGAATAAAATTAAAAGAATGTGTTTAGTTCAAAAGAGCTAAAAACATTCAATGGAAACCTTAGAGTTTCATACGTGAACTACTATCCTATAAAAAAAAAAAAAAAAAACTAGTAATAAATATATGTATATGTGTATGTATGTGTAGGTATATATAACCTTTATATTTCAATCTCATAAATATCAGTAGTTACCTGAGTTGTTTTTTTACAAATGACTAAATTTTAGGTTTATTATTTTATTTTTTCTAACAGTTTTAGTAACTTTTGTTTTATAAATTATTTTTTTTTTTTTTTATTTTGTATTTTTCTTTTACACAATATTTTGCTAATCTCTAGTTAAATAAATTGCTTGACATAAAATTATTCGCTATTTATAATAATTATTAACTGTTTTAAAAAAACAGTGTGTTTCAGTATTAGGGAATATGGCAAACCACATTTGAAGCGCTCAACGCATTAGTGGCGTACTTGCAAAAATGACATTTCGTGCAAATTGCGTTTAAAATGTTAAATATTTAATTTTTAATAAAATTTTTAAAAGGCAGAAACAAACCTATGTCAAAATAGAATGAAAAGAAAAGTAAACTAGGTATATTTTGAAAATATAGAGCAATTCTTTAGGCCATTTAGGTTATTGAGTATAATAACTAATTTTTGAAAAAATGTTGGTCAGGCCACTAATGCGCTGAGCGTCTCATTTCATAAAATAAATTTTGTGTCAATAATTAAGATCTCATTATTTTATGCTATTAAGGAGTTGGACGTTTTTTATTATAATTGTTATATTGCATATTTTTGGGGTGAACAATTTTAATAGTTGAAAAAATTTAAGTATGTTATAATTATATTTGATGGAGAGATTTTTAAAAGAACTGTATATCACTAATTTTTTTGAGCGAAATTGACAAATTTGACAGTTTGAAATGTGACTTCGATATGTTTCATAAATTAAAAGAGTATCGAAAACAATAATTCAAAATTTAATTTAATTTTATAAATTTAATTAATTTTGTTATTATTATTTTATTTAGTTAAAAAATTTTTAAATTTCAATTTTATGTTTGGATTTTAAACACGCTGTAATTTTTTTCAAAATCAAAAAATTTTTACTATATACTTACATTACCGATTGGTGATGAAAAGACAAGGTGGAGGTGGAGAAAATGATATTGATATGATAGTTGTATATAAATATGATTTGGAAGGATTATGTGTGAAGAACAAAGTGTCATACACAGGAAGCAATCTATATTGAATGTGTTACATAAATATTAGTGTGTATAATGTGAAAATTTCTTAATAACTTAAACGATTTTTGGGTATATATGGTTTTGAAAATATTTGACATTGTGTCTTAATTGTTTGTTATATATTAATATCCTTTCCCAGAAATTTACAAATATTTAAGCCTTTTCAGTTGTAGTCCATTTTCAAGAAATTATTTTCTTGTTCCATATTTCAAAAACTTAATTGCAATAGCAGGTTGTGGTTTAATTTTGGTAAGAAGGTTAGTAATGTTAAAATTAGGTTGGTAAGAAAAGAAAAATTAGTAATGTTAACAAATGAAGTAGATTGATTAAAAGACACAAGTTAAACGAAAGTGTTGTCATCCTTTGTTATCAGAATTATTTAAAATGATAGTCAGTGGTTAAACCGAATTTTAAACAAAGAACTTTTTTATTATTGTTCTTAATTTTTAATTTTGAACAAGATTGAATCTTACCGCAAGTATTCATATACAGGGTGTCGAACACTCAATGGAGTTTCCGATGCAGAGTGATACAATGACATCAGACGATTAAAAAACACTATGTAACATTTTGTTTTTTGGATAAATCTTTCTTGAATTTCGGGTCCCAAAGTTTTAATTTCTAAAAACCGTCTAGTTTTTATATTTTTATTGATATTGAAATACGTATGACAGATAAATCAAACTTTGTATACTCTTTTGAAAGATAATGAAATTCCTCTTCTAACAACTTGTATTCAAAACCATGTTAGAAATTTTGTTTATTAATCGATTAATTTATTCTTTTCCAATTAGTAACAATTACAGCTTAAAATTATTCCATATCAATAAATAGTTAGCAATAGAATTAGATTTAACTAACAAATTAATAATTTGACCTATTTGTATTAATATTTATGTAATTTTGATTAGCGGCATTTTTGTTTTCATGCAGGTTTTAGACATTACGTTGGCAACTTGAGCGAAATGAGTAATTTTCGCATGAGAAACTGTGAAAATTTTGTTAGTTTTTGTGTTGAAGCATGTGTTCTATAAAATTCTGACTTGGAACTATTAAAAAAATAATTACATTTCACTTAGATTTAAAAATTAAAGTAATTTTACGATATCAAAAAAGACAATATGTCGGAATATCATACATAATTAAGTTCGTATTCCGGACAAGTACAATATACATAAATTTATTATGTACACACCTAACTTTCTAAAAGAATTTTGTTTGTTATTTGTAATACTTTTATTATAAATAGTATAAATGCATTTGAATATTCCTTTTGTCTGATTATCATGTAACGATTGCACTTCAATGCAACCATTTTTTTAATTGTGTAATAGATTTTACATAGTCTTATGGTAAGGTTCAAAAAATATACGTAAATTACGTTAGTTTGACTTCATTGACGCGTAAAAAATAAATCTGCATAGAAAACATAATCTTCATTGATTGAAGGCTTAATGCGTCGTCTTATTTTTACGCATAATATTTTTTAGAGCGGTGCGTTATAACTAATTTATTCATTTAATTCAAGTCAGAAGATTTTTCATTTTTCTACTGATTTTATGTAAATGTAAAATACAATTAGTATGCTGATTTAATTAACTGAGACTTTATTTTCCATATGTTATGTTTTTGCATATGGGCTTCCTATAAATACATGAAAAAAATTAAATAAGCTTTACGTAGTTTTGTGAGTTAACAATTTGCAATGATTGTATTTGACGTAAAGAACGCTTCTAAGACTTACCTGTATAAAAAATATAAATTAATATTATAATATGAGATCAGGTATTAAATATCATGAAAATATAAAAAGACATACTTAAATTTCATTACGGCACCTTAGATCTCTTGCCTATTTATTCATTTACGGTTTTGTTCATGTCGCTAGACCGGTACAGTTTATGTTCATTAATGTAATATACAAAATTATTTGTCGCCCTCAATTCATATTTTATATTTGCATAATTCTAATTAAATAATATACTTTAAAATAAGCCTTAATTATATTATATTTCTTTTTTCTATATTTTCAGACAGTTCTTCAACAAATACTAATGAAAATCCTTCACCATCATTAAGTCCACCACCATCATCAAATCATAATAATAAATCACCATCACCAACAAGTCATCATCATCATTTACATCATAATAGTTCAACATATGTACAAAGTTCAAATGAATCAGATGACGATAGTCAAGAAATTATTGAAGAAGATGATGATAATAATGAAGAAGGTGGTGGTCCATCAGAAAGTTCATCATCTCATGGTGATGGTAGTCAAACAAAACGAAAAAAGAAAACTCGTACTGTATTTTCTAGAGCACAAGTATTTCAATTAGAATCTACATTTGATTTAAAACGTTATCTTAGTTCATCGGAACGTGCTGGTTTAGCAGCATCATTACGTTTAACAGAAACTCAAGTAAAAATATGGTTTCAAAATCGTCGTAATAAATGGAAACGTCAGTTAGCTGCTGAATTAGAAGCAGCAAATATGGCAAATATGGCACATGCTGCTCAACGTTTAGTACGAGTACCAGTTTTATATCATGAAGGTGCAGCAACTGGTTTTGTACCACCTCCACCACCACCACATCATCCACATACATCTGCTTTATATTATCAAAGAGGAAGTCCTCCAAGGCCATTGTCATCGTTAGTATAGGATAGACTTAATAATTCAAATGACAGTATTAATAATGGCGAATTAGGTAGACAAATATTTACAAAATGTCAAAATGTGTATAATGCTATTAACGATGAAAAAAATCATTATCAAATGAAAACAACAAACATTGGAAATTGTGATGGTGATCAAGAAAATATTGCTGAAGAAATACCAAATAATAATAATAATAATAATAATGAGACTAGCAATGAAAATAAAATATTGTAGTATTAGTATAGCCAAATAATAGTGTATTTTTAAGCTTTATCCAAAAATATTTTACCAATTAAATTAAATTAGACTCATGTGCACTGAATTAAATTTCAGGAAAAACAAAAACAATAGACTGTGAAGAATACACAACTCTTATAATTTTTAAACTCTTAAAAATTTCTTGAATTTTCGATTCTAATAATTTTTGTATCAATTCTACTAATTGGATCATATCTGAATGAAATTTATTTTGGGTCATTGTTTGTAAATTAGACGAGAACAATTTTTATTGACATCATATTTCAATTTGATTTGAACAAGAAGTCAATGAGGAACTAAATCACCATCTTAAAAATACTTTAAATAATATAAGAAATTACAAAGTATCGTGATTTGTTGTAAAGTGAATGAGCGACTTTACTGGTTTCATAAATAATTTTTGATTTGAAAGAAAATTTGAGGTTTTGCAAAATTCCAGCTCGAAAGAAAGGTGAAAAAGTGTGATCTTCCCATTGTAAAAAGAAATTAATTAAAAATTTATGAATTAATGAATCTTTCATGAAATTAATAACCTGATCTGTAGAAAAAAAAAGGTGAAATGTAGGTCTAAGTTTATTTAATTTTGGAATAAACCTTAAGTTTGATCTACCTCTTGAATTCTATTTATAAGATGACATAAATTCAACTACATCCTCGGTTCTAACTCGGTTATTAACTTGGCAACAATATTAATTGTATTGATATTGCTAATCACTAATGTTTTCCTTTGTATTGTGTATATAGTGTGTATCACATAACTGTATCAATGCTACTTAATAAATTAACAATAAAATATATAATATCAAATTTTACCCTATTGTATATAGGTAATTTTTAATAAACTGTAAATATATTAAGTTAATTTGAAAATCAAAATAAATTTAATAAAAAAAAAATAATGTTATAAAAATATTTTATATAAATTAAAGCGAGTATAATTTTTTAAATTTAAAAATTTCATCATTTTAAATAAAATTTCAGAATTACAAATAATTAATAAAAAAAATAGTTTGTCCGTGTAGGAGAAGTGCAATATAACTTATTTTAGCGAAATTTCTGTCAGTCTGTCTATTTATTAATGTGGCGATTTATTGATTTCTTGGTCCTTGAGTTCTTATATCAACAATTCAACTTAACCAATTTTGATGTAAATTTATATTTGAGTATGAGAAGAATTTTTTTTAGAAACTTATTTAAAATTTTGGATACTTTGGCTCTGTCCAATTATAGCGCTAATTAAGAAAATTTTTTCCAAAATTTAAATTTCGGAAACTTGCCTCAATTTCTGTACAATTCGCACATTTTTAAGTATATAGGTACATAATGGAAAAGTCACTGTTTATTGGAAATTTTTATTTTAAGCCCTAGCGTGTCGATGAAACATATTAATAATTCGAAATTTGTATTTTATAAAATACGAAAATTTTTATCGACCGCATTTCATACAATAAGTGAGATTATGTGATGGCACCAGTTTTGATATGTGGAGTTTTCGGCGGAAATGCATAAGAGAAATTGCAAGGGAAAATTAAAGAGATTAAAGAGATGTCTGTCGATCTGTCTTTCAGTCTGTCTGTACAGATTAGTATCTTAAGTTCGTTTAAACCGATTTTGATAAAAATTTTTATATTTGAATTTACTTTGAGATTGAGACAGTTTGATAAACTTTTTGGATATGTCAGAGGTCTCGAGAACTGGATCTTTACTACCGAGTCATTTTACATTTTTGATTATTTTTAAGAAGATATTCAATCAACTAATTTAAAATCTTATATATAAACTTGGCTATAAGAAAGTACAAAAAATTAACTAACTTTTAGAAGATATCACAAGTCAGTAACTAGACTTTTACTACGTGCAAAGTTTACATTTTTGCGCATATATAAAGAGAAATAATCAACCGATTTCCTTAAAATTTAATATTTGTATTCAGGTTTCAGGAGTTTCGAAAGCAATGAACTTATACATTTTTTTGGGAATATCAGCCCTCGGAAAATGAATTCTTAATAGGAGCCGATTTTGCATTTTATACCATATCTAAGGGACTAATTGAGGGAATTTTTTGAAATTTAATTTTTGGGTTTTGTTTTGTACCTAAAACAAATGACAAACTTCTCAAGGAATTCGGATAGCGCAAAGGGATACTCTACTAAGAGCCAAATTTATATTTTCCTAGGTATGTTAACTTAAAGCTTATTAATGTCTTTAAAATTGTAAGGGAAATGTTTAAAAGGCATGTTCAAAATCTTGTGCACCATTTTTCTTAAACAAGACAACACACCTTCCGCTCGGTTAAGAGCTGACCACATCCGATTTTTTTAAAATAGTTTTGTTTCCTTGAATTATTTATTTTGTAATTCTGAATCTTTTAAAAATTAAAATATTTTATAATATAATAATGTATTTAACAAAATTATATAATATTCTAAAAAAAAAATTACAAAAAATAAAGATTCTATTTATAAATATAATTATGCCCTGAATAAATATGGTTTTAATAGAAAAAATAATTAAACTTAAATAAAAATTTTACATTGCAATTTTATCTTACACACATATATATATATATAATTAATTATATAATAATAAAATTTTAAGTTAATATTTCAAATATAAAAAAAATTCAATTAATTTGAAATGTAAATATATAAAAATATTTTTGTTGTAAATAAAAACAAATTAAATATTGTGTAATTAATTTAATCAAATAAAGTATTATAAAAATTGTAGTGTGTATTTGTATTTTAGTTAATTAATTAATATATTCTCATTATCTATAAATATAAATTATAAAAAAAACAAACAAATATTATATTTAATGTAATAAATTTGCAAATATTAAAATTAAAAAAAAAAATATCCTATAAGAATTTAGACTAGCATTAATGATTTTTAACTTAATATTATTAAAATATTTATAGTATTAATATATTTATGCATATGTATATATATATATATATTTGTATACCTATGTGAATACATATGTATGTATGTAAATTATATAAATTACAAAATTTCATTAAAAAAAAAAAGAGAATAAAAGAATACAAAAAATTAAAAATTGTGAAAAGTAAAACAAAAAAAAAAAAAAAATTCGAATAAAATTGCTTTAATTGCATTCAATTTAAAATTTAGTTTTGTATTTTATATACAATTCACAATATTTAATACCTTAACTTTTAGAAATTTGGGCATATTCGAAATATCATGACAAAAATTACAAAATCTTTTCAGATTTGATTGCTAACTGAACGTTTTCAATGTTCATAATTAATTAACAAATTTATTGTACAAATATTTTATTGTTGATTGGCAAGTGCAATAGCACTCCAATTAGCACAAATATACGGTTTTGCTACCACTACCCCTTGATCACCAGACCATCATTGAGTATATACGATTATATAAAAAGTGTTTGTAAAATAATAAGCCATACTTTATTGTAATCCATAATTAGTATGTACTTATAACTAATTCATAATTTCAAGAAAAAACCAATTTATTTGTATACAGTGCCGAATTCACTATGCCATAGTTTACTTACCCTATGAGCTATTTCACTATTAACACTCATTATCTAGTTTTATCAAAGATTTTATTCTAAAGACTTCAATCATTTTGAATAAAAGAGTAGGAGTTTTGAATAAAATTTATATTAAAATAAGAACTTACGCAGCGAGCTCGTAATGCATATTAAGTGATTTTCGATTTTTCAATTGCATATTTGCGATTTAATCATAGTTTCATACTCTTGTTAATAGAAGTTATTAATTTTGAAGATTTATAGATGCCTTGCTTTTTGATAGATGCTTAAGTAGTATAGTAACAAGTATTTAAATAACAAAAAATTTGGAATTAAAATTGAAATGTTCATTTAATTAAAATATCAAATATGTATATAGCAATCAACTTACTGTTAGTACTAATTTATTATTTAAAGCAATAGTATGCAAGCTTTCTTTAACACAATTTTCTTCTAACAGATAATTTTGGTTTTCGTCTTTATTATATGAAAGTCTTCTTCTACTAGACGTCTTCTACTAGAGGTTAGAAAATTGTTTTTAAAATAAACTGGTGACAAAAAAAAGTATAATTAACAAATAGAGAAACAGAGAAAGGAAGATGTTTTCGGACTTTTTTTTGGTTTTTACTAAAAGCAGAGGTAAAAATGATGAAGAAAATTAAAATATAATGAAAATATAATTAATATTTCCATTAACTCAATTATAACATTAAATGACTGCCGATTTGCTACTTTTACACTGAAATTAATGAAATTTTTCAATACTGCTCTTTAAATATCTAATTGTACTTGTATTTTCTCTATTTTCTTGAAATTTTATTTTTCAGCGAATAGCAAATCTGTCAATCAACACTTTTTTATATGCGACGCATCTAGTGGAATAAGACTGAATGTCATTTAAATCTACAATCAAGTACTTATTTTTTAAAAATTCTATATTAATTAATATTATTTATTAAAATATATTATTTTCGCTCATATACTGCGTTCTTTTCTATACAGTATACAGGGACGGATTAGGAATAAAAGTCGTCATGAGAATAAAACGAATATTAATTTTTTTTTTTCATTATCAATTTGAGTGATAAAATCATTAAAGACAATGAAATTTTTTACAAAAAATCTAAAACCTACATATATGTAAAATTAAAAAAGAATTTAACTAAAAAAAAAAAAAAAACTAACAATTATTTGGTGGTGCATAAAAATAATAAATTTTTTCTGAAAAGTTAAAATTATTGTTTATATACACTTGCGGTTTTCTTTCTTTGTCAAAGAGTTTGGAATTTATTCCCTGATTTTAAATTGCCTATATATACATAAAAATAAAGCATTCAAAACACTAAATAAAATTTAAATAAACTTTCACTATTCTCATATGCTGTACTTTTATATATATTAAATTGCCTACATATATATATATATATATATATATATATACATATACATATATAATCATCAGAAGAAAAACCATTTTTTAAATGTTCTGATTTCATCTTTTGTCTATGATTTCATAAAAATATATACAAAGTTTGTTTATATAGTATTCATTATATATATACATTATGTAAATGAGGAACGTGAATTTTTATAATTTCTGCAATAATGTACAAAATTTTACACATTGTTCATTATATCGGAAATTTCTTAATATGTATACAATAAAATATTTATGTTATTTTTCTAAAAAATAATGTGAAGTTATGTATATATACATACAAATAATATCTAAGTATTGATAAGTTACATATATACATATTTACATAAAGCAAAATTAAAGTCATTTTATCATTACATATAATATTAACAAAAGTTCCTGTAAATTGATATTGTACCATTGGAACTCATATTTCACTCATCGTACAAAGTTTTTGTTTTTTTCTTCTTCTATTTTAACTATTCAACTCTTTATGTATATATTAATTACATGCATATTATAGGCATATTTACACATATTATACATATTTATTTTTTAAAAACAAAAATCGTAATACCTGCTGTTATATAATTGCTTTTATATAATAATTGTTTTCTGTTATAACATGCAATAGGGGGGCTTATACATTCATTTTATTTATACTGTGATTCTTTCAATAATTTTATATCGCACAATATATAAGTATGTATGTATTATTGAGAATTTGTATATATTATATATGTATATTTAAAAAACCTATGTGCAGTGGTAATGATTTTCTATGATTTGCAATTATATGCAAATCGAGTGAAATGAGTGGTACAATCGCAATTCTCTGTGCAATAACAAGTATTTTTTTTTTCTGTTCATTTTTTTTACACTATAGAAAGCCAAATATAGCTATATATGATTTTTTTATTTTTATTCTTTCAATTTTATTTATTATTATTTATAAATTATTACACGATTCTAAAAGCGGAATAATTAAAAATAAAATGCACAGAACAAAAAAAAAAAACCGAACATAAAAAATAAAGCGAAACGATGTTGCCTATTTTCATTTTAAAATTTTTTCTTTTAATTTTTCGTCTACGTGCAGCTTTTTATACCCTACACCATCTTTCAGGGTATATTAAATTTGGTATGGAGTTTCTAATCACTTGAAGGAGTCATCTGCGGTAATATTGTTGCTCAGCTTAAAATTCTGCGTTGATTTAGACATGTCTGTCCGTCTGATCGTACGATATCGTGCCGTACAATTCCAGTATAATGGGTTAGGGTAGCTGCCATACAACTCCAAAAGCAAATTTTTTATATTC